TTGCATGGATCAAAAAAAAAAAAGGACTCCCTTGTCCAAAGGCCAATCTAGTAATTGCCTGCTTTGAATGTTCCACCTGCCATCAAAAGACAGCAATACTGAGCCCCCAGTGTGGCACTATTCCTTAAAAAAACTAACCAGTCACTTGGCAGCAAATGGTCTACATAAGAATTGACCAGAAAGAAACACTGATTTTTGTTACCAGAACAGATACTTAATCTCAGCAGGGGTTTGCCTTTCCCACCTACAGGGTCTCTGCCAACACCACTGTAAGGCCACTTACAGAATGCCTGATCTAAAAACATGAAACAATTTATTACCCAACCAGGGAACCCATTTTACAGATCTACTGGTTATGTGATATATCATCTAGAAGCTGCTGGCTAAAAAAGTGTTGGCATGGTGTGCTGAATGAACAGCTAAAGCACCTGCTCAGAGCCAACACCTTGCAAGGATGGGGGTACCACCCTCCAGGATATCTATAAATGTCGAATTACAGTCCTTTATATGGTACAATTTCTCCAAGAGAAAGAATACATAGGTCTAGGCACCAAGGGGTGAAAGCAGGAGTAGCTTCACTTACCACCACTTTCAGTGATACACTGGAGGTCCACACAGCTCTGGTTTCTGCAGGATTAAAGGTCCTGATCCCCCAAATAGGTGTATTCTTACCAGGGGATAGCAAAGATCCGATGGAACCATAAGCTACAGCTGCCACTCATACCCTTTGGGATCTATGTGGCCAGAAACCAGCAGGCAAGAAGAGGAATCACCATCTTGTCGGGGTAATTAATTCTGATCAGCAGGAGGTGGCAGAGATGCTTTTACATGATGGGAGCAGGGAGGAATGTGTATGGAACCCAGGTCACCTACTGGGTGCCTCTTGGTAGCTATCACCTATTGTGCAGCAAATGTATTGATACAGTAGGCCATATGCAGGTAAAGTTACCCAGAGTTCAGACCTTTCAAAAGTGATGCTCTGGGAAACACCACATGAGCCACTGAGGGCAGCAGAAAATGAGGGATGTTAGAACAGATGATGAAGATGGGAGGGATGAGTGTCAGTTGTGTCTGTGGAACCACTTATAGCCATGAAAGCTACAGTTCATCCCTCCAACCCCCCTTGTGTAAGTTTCCCCTCAGGAAAAGAGGCCCACCAGAGCCCTGAAGAAACTGCTCCCCAAATGTACTATTTAGTGGATCCCTCTGCATGCCTCTCTGCGTCAGATAGGAGATGTGTCAATCAGATCCTCCTTGAAGAAAAGACTCATTCCTCAGCTTCAAGGGGTATGGTGGGCTGACAGTCCCCAGCTGTTTGTTACTTCAGAGTCAGCTTCAGATTTTCATCCTATGCTTTTCTCAGGGTGGTCTCCAGTTAGTCACTAAGTAAGGCCTAACAATGTCTATTAAATGGGAGAACTTCTTTAAGAACCAATTATTACACCAGAGAAATATAAATTAAAACAATGAAACAATGATACATCACTTCGCACCCACCAAAATGGCTCTCGTCAATAAATGAACAAACAGCAAGTGTTGGCTAAGATGTGGAGATAAGAGAACTCTTGTGCACTGTTGGTGAAAATGTAGAATGGTACAGCCACTATTGAAAACAGTGTGAAAATTCTTCAAAAAATTTTAAATGGAACTGCCTTATAACCAACGATTCTACTTCTGGGTATGTATCCAAAGGAACCCAAAACATTAATTTGAAAGAACATATGTATCCCTATGTTCATTTCAGCATTATTTATAATAGCTGATTACCCATCAGTGGACAAGTGCAGCCTTAGCTGAGTAACTCAGTTGGTTAGAGTGTTATCCCAATACACCAAGGTTGTAGGTTCGATCCCTGGTCAGGGCACAAGAATCAACCAATGAATGTATATATAAGTAGAACAACAAATCAATGTTTCTTTCTCTCTCTCTCCCTATCCTGTCCCACCCCTCCTGCCACCTCTTCTCTCTCAAATCAATAAATTAAGAAAAAAACAAACAAGTGGATTAAAAAGTAGCATTACAAATATATACAAGGGAATATTACTCAGCCACATAAAAGAAAGAAGTCTTACCATTTGTGACAGTGTGGATGAATCTAGAGGGTATTACTGGTATGCTAATACCCTCTATGCTAAGTGAAATAAGTCAGTCAGAGAAAGACCAATACCACATAATTTCATTTACAATGGAATCTAAAATAAATGAACAAATAAAATTAAAACAAATTCATAGATAGAGAACAGACTGATGGTTGCCAGAGGGGAGGGCAATGGGGGACTGGGTGAAAAATGTGAAGGGATTAGGAAGTACAAATTGGCAGTGACAAAAAATAGTCATGGGGATGTAAAGTACAGCATAGGGAATATGGTCAATAATATTATACTATGTATGGTACCAGGTAAGTACTGGAAATATTTGGGAAAACACTTTGTAAAGTATATGACTATCCAATCACTAACTGTACACCTGGAACTAATACAAAGTAATATTGAATGTAAACTGTAATTGAAAAATAAAATTTAAAAAAGAAACAATTTTTGCTTTGGATCTCCAATCCTGCTTCAGTCCTTTTTCTTTCACAGGTGTTAAACCACCCCCACCACCTTCCAATAAATTTTGGCATTCCTGACTTCTTTTCAGTCTCTGCTTCTGAGAAAATCTAAAGAGAACAGTTGTCCATCAGGGCTCTGAAGTCAAGTTGTTCCCTGTTCCCAATCCTGGGATGTCTGCCCTAATTAATCAGAACTATTTTCTCATATATAAAATTAAAGACATTTCTTTCATGCATACTTTATAAGATTATTATAAAAATAGAATGAATATTTGGAGGAAAATGCCATATAATTTGAAAATCGTTATGTGAACTATTACAGTTTTTATTAAAACTTCTAAAGATTTAAAGTATTTCCCAGATTACCTAACAATTCACAATAGTTTAAAAAAATTCAAACAGATAATTGTTTTCAAGCCCTTTCAAAGTTAGTATGGTTATATGGTTTTTCTGTAGCTTTACTTATTCCCAGGGAGTAATTTATACACTCAGACATCTTGTTTGACCATCAGATACAGACCTAAATAAAGAATTGTGGAGTACAACAGTAGCCTGCCATGGGAATTTTGGTTTGTTTCTTTTCATTTCTAGAGTAACAAGAACAATTGAAACAACCCTTTTGAGAAAATGCAGTGACCAGAGCATTGGGGGGAAAATATTTAACACCAGTGTGTCTGCCAACCAATTTCCTTTAGCACTACTGTGATAAGACATAATTTTATGTCTGTGGATAAATACTGCAACACATTTAAATGAAAAATAGTTCCTATACCCTTTTATTATTCACTCTTATTCACCTATCTGCAATGTATGTATTACAAGAGGGTACCTCATGATCCTGTCACCTCCCCGACCCCGCCAGCAGCCATTTCCTCCTCCTTAATGTCATCATCACTTTGTTTTTGTCCCTGAGGTGCTGCACTGTGCCTGGAAGTAGTGCAATACCAATCATGGCGTGGACAAAGTAAGCTCCTAGACCACCTCTCGGCTCTAAAAATCCATTTAATATGCTGTCCTCAATAGAGGACGTATCAGATGTTAAACTGATAAAAACATATCTCTACATTCAATCTTAGCCAAAAGGCCAAACATCATCACTTTTTATAAAAAATCAAACAAACAACTTTTAGTACTTTTCAGCAGAAATTTTTTTCTATAGTGTGCTATTGTTTGCTTAAATGGTGATACAGATTTCTGAAGAGTTTTCTCTCCTCCTACCTTTTGAAAGGTGTATCTCTGATTTGTGTTTGAGAGTTGACACAGGTTCAGTTACAAGCTCTGAAAATGTGTGGTTCCCTATAAAGAACTGCAAAAAGGTTTAAAAACCAGTCCCGTTCCCTTTTTGGTCATCCTGCCCAATGTGTCCTTCCCTTTTTTTTTTTTTTTGTCAAAGCCAATCTATAGATCTAAAATGTCCTGCTAAGCAACAGGGCTAAAACTTTTGGCTGTTTATTCAGAGATCAGGACAACACTGAAGTAAAAGTAAGTATAGCTGACAATGCACAGTTATTTCAAATGGTTTTGCATACATTTTAGAAACATGTAAAAAGTAAAATAAAGAATTCTTATTGTACTTTACTGTAGATGAAGAATACCTGCAATATGAATTGGAAACTAATGGGACAAAAATGCCAATGACATAGGCTGGACTATAAGATCCACCAGCCAGTTGTAAGAATGTGTTTCAGCACAGTTCAGTACAAATAACAAAATTCTTCAGGTTTACATGAATTTTTTTGCATGTGTTATTTTGGGAACTCTGATAATTGAATACAACTTCAAAAGGGCTCAAGACAGTGAGATTCACACAACTAGACAAAAATGAAACCTGAAGCAATAAAACACCGATTAACTTAAAACATTCATACTTTAGGACATGACTGAAATTCCTTTTAACTTTATTTTGTCTTGGGGTTTTGTTGGGTTGTCAACAGACATTATCCTTTCATATATTAAATTGTGTCTCAAGAGTGTTAAGGTAGAATCCAACAGTATGGGGGAACCGAAACAGTTTAGTACATGGTTTGCATAATGTTCAGGGTATTATGGTATTTCTTTCCGAATATAGGATTTATCAATCCCGACTACCCCCGCTCCCCTCAAGGGGGGAAATGGAGGCGAACTTACAATTGAGGGCCCCTATGAATGACTGGAGTGTGACAAGCCTGAGTTCCTCAGCCTTCGTTCTTTTTTCGCCCGGGGTTCGGGGCCCGAGGCCCGCGGCCCGCAAGGCACACCTGTCGCTCTCACCCCCTAAGATTCGGCAACCTGTGAGTCTCCAGCTCTAGCCTGTGGGAGGAAAACGCAGCTCAGCGGAAGGGAAAAGACCGGAGCGCGGTTGCTCCTGGGAGGAGCAAGCGCCTAAGGGGCGGAGCTGGGCGCGCTCGTGGGCGGGGTGTGCGCGCTGCCGCTGTCGCGTCACCAGCGTGAGGCACGTGCCGGTGTTTACGTCCCTCCTGGAGCCGCCGACGTCAGCAACAGAATGGTAACATTGTGCCGTTACTGAGGTTTGGAGTTTAGGAGACGCGTCAATCAGTCTGGCGGCCCCTGGGCGGTCGGGAACAGGAGGAGGGCTATCGGCCTGGGCGACTGGCAGAGACTCATACACATCTGGCCCTAACCGCTCACCGGCCTGCTCGGCCCCACGGGACCCACGCCTTACCTCCAGAGCGCCATAGACGCAGCACCACGGCCTCTCACGCGGGGCAGCCGGGGCGGGCTCGGGGCGCTGCCACAGCGCTGGGCTTGTAAACAGATCTGGCTGCACGTGACCATGTGAACTACCTGCTCTAGGGAAGCGTATTGTCTGTCTTTCCCGCGAGCTGCTCCACAAAGGAGTGCGGTGGGTCCGAGTGCGCAGGGACAGGCAAGCAAGCGAGGAGAGCCGGCTGGGACGCTAAGATGGCTGAAGGCGTCCGGCGAGGGTGAGCGGGGGGCGCGGCGCAGCCAGCCGGTGAGTCCTCAAGCGGGCAGGACGAGCGTCGCCTCTCCGGCGGCCTGGCGTTGGAGCCACCATGTCGTTCGCGCTGGAGGAGACGCTGGAGTCGGACTGGGTCGCCGTGCGGCCCCATGTGTTCGATGAGCGCGAGAAGCACAAGTTCGTGTTTATTGTGGCCTGGAACGAGATTGAGGGCAAGTTTGCCATAACCTGCCACAACCGGACGGCCCAGAGGCAGAGGAGCGGCTCCCGGGAGCAGGCGGGAGCACGAGGGGGCGCGGAGACCGGCGCAGCAGCATCCGAAGGGACTCGGGGGCTGGGCAGCCCCGCGGGCAAGGGGCGGCCGGAGGCCACCGGTTCTACTACTCTGGGGAGAAGCCCAGGGCCACGGAGGAGCCCAGCCTGGGCAGAGGGAGGTTCTCCCCGGAGCGCGCGCAATGTTCGGGGGGAATCACTGTTGCGGAGCTCAGCCGGCAAAGGAGCAGAGAGCTCTCTCAGGAGCCCAGTGCGGGCCAAGTCCAGCCCTGTCCGGAAGGGATCTGAAGGCAGAGATGTGGCGGGCATCTCCGCAGCGTCAACCCCGGCGGCGCCCAGGGAGGCCCGGGTGTCCTCTGTGCGGGTAGTGAGTGCCTGTGGGGCAGTTTCTGAGGAGATCGAGGTCCTGGAAATGGTGAGGGAGGACGAAGCAGCTCCGGTCTCCCAGTTGCTTCCCGACACGGAGCTACAGCCACCCGTGGGTGAACTGGAGTCCACGGCCGAAGAGTGCAGTTGGGCCGGGCTCTTTTCCTTCCAGGATCTACGCGCTGTGCACCAGCAGCTGTGCTCGGTGAACTCGCAGCTGGAGCCTTGCCTGCCCGTCTTTCCCGAGGAGCCCTCGGGCATGTGGACCGTGCTGTTTGGGGGGGCCCCTGAGATGACTGAACAGGAGATTGATACTCTTTGTTACCAGCTCCAGGTCTACCTCGGTCATGGCCTGGACACCTGCGGTTGGAAGATCCTCTCCCAGGTACTTTTCACTGAGACCGATGACCCCGAGGAGTATTACGAAAGCCTTAGCGAGCTGCGGCAGAAGGGCTATGAAGAAGTGCTTCAGCGAGCTAGGAAGCGCATCCAGGAGGTAAGTTTTGTCAGTGACATCTTTTCGTTATTCAGTACCAAAGGCTAGAGTCTTGGTTTAGCCTGTGCACATTTGCGACACTCATTTTTCTAGACCAGGGAAAAGAAAAGACGATGGGTGCCTGTGAGTTACCTCCCTCTTCATTCCTTTCATTCACTGGTAGGAAAACTGGCTTTCCTTAATTGGTCCTCTGAAGGACCTTTGGTAAGTCTTTGGATTTCCTCTTTCATTAATTACATAGGTTTTATGTAATAAGTGCTCTGTTTACATACTGTCACTAAGATTAAAGCCACTTTGGAAAAAAAGATGGCTCGTAAAGGTAAGCTAAAGGAGCGTTTCTCTTTGCCCCTAAAGCTCTTTCTAGCAGTAACTGTCCAGGTATTAACTTTGGTGTCATTTCTTCGTGTCTTGCTCATTTACTCAAGATAGTTTGTCTTACGGAGTAGAGTTGTCCGTCTTTACCTCCAAATATAGTTTGGCAACTTGGGCAAGTTTTAAATACTTTGTTGTCCAAATAAGTGGCCTGTCCAAATGAAAAAGTACCAACTGACAGTTGGATAGAAATGTATTTTTAAAGGTTTTATACACATTTTATGAATATCAAATCTCTACAGATGGTTCGTGTTTCACTCTTGTTTTAGTGAGGAAAAAATGCTTTGGGCAGGAATGTTTAGTATACTTTCTACTTAAAAGCAGTGCAGTGTAGTACAATATGGGGGAAAGGTTGGAATGACTATACAAAAGGAGCTCTACAATGTGTAAAATTTGAGGTCATGCCTACTTAACAGCTTTGAAAGAACTTCACTGAAACAGTATTTTCAGATATACTCAGTTTCCTCTAATGAACAGTAAAACATACTTTTTCAGAGCAGTTTATTATTTTTAGTATTAGTACCAGTCCAGGTTGGACTTAGGGTGGGAAAATTCTCCTTTTTATGGTGTTTATATTCCCGACATTGTGTTGTCATCTGTTAACTTCGCCTTTATTTATATAATACTTGAATCCTGCTATTAAGGTTACGAAGCTGGAGCCTTTTGGTTTCTTAGACATATAGTTTTTCTTGCTAGATTTGAGGATTAGGAAGTGAACCCTTTCTCACTTATTCCACAAGTGCTCTCCTAAAACTTCCTGAATCCAGGTTTTCAACTCCTTCCTATTAGTTTATTTTATGTTAAACATCACCCACCTATATATATGATCCTGGAGATTAAGAATGTTTTTATTTTCTTTTGGATCATCTCCTTTCCAGAGTCTGTGTTCTATCTTAGATTGTTTTTGGAAGGAATTGACAGAAATCTTAAATGGCCACATATATTTGCTGTGGAGTTTTGCTGATATTGATCTGTATTTCATTGAACTTGGAAGGACAAAGTTAGTACTTCTTTCTTTTACTCCATTTACAGATACATATTATATTGTTTTTTGAAACTTTGTATTTTTTAATTCCTAAGTCATGTAGGCAGGTATGTCTGGTTTTAATTTTTTGATACTCAGGAAAAAGTATTTTGTATGGATTTTTTAATTCAAATTGGGTTAAAAATTAGGGCTGCCAACAATATAGTTAACTAACAATTTTCTAGAATTTGTGTCATTTTTCTATTATTGATTTTATTGAGTTTAGGAATTACATCTAACTGAATGATTTTGTATTTCCAATTCTCAAGTTGACTTATGAAGTTAGCTATGGTTTTTTTCAAGCTAGATGTATTTGGTAAATCAAGCACATTCTTAAGTCTATGATGCTTTAAAAAATTAAGTCAAGTCATGTTTTTCCTTTAATTTCAGTGAATCTATTTTCTGGTCCCTTTTCCTATAGAGTTTCTTTTAAAGGCTTCAGCTTAAAGACCACACCTGTTTTTGTTCAGAATGGTCACTCAGTTCTTTAGATAAGTTTTGCATTTTTTTTTTTAATAGAACAGACTGCAAATAGAACGTAAACTTCTCAGGCATGGCCTTGACAATATCTTGAAATTCTCTTCTCTGCCACCCCCTGGTTCAGGGCCACAGGTTTTGTGAGCACTCTTAATATTAGCAGACAAAGGGTCCAGTTTGTTTTTAGTATTGCAAGAATTTAAAGGGTTTGGAAAAAGTGGCCTTTTAATGTAAAGTTGTGGGTAAATAAGTTTTTATAAAATGATAAATGTAAACTACTCAAGGGACCATGCTATTGAAAAACTAGGAGAAGAATCTCTTAAAACTGTAAATGACTTCCTAAATAAGGAGTTTTTTTATGTGGAGTTGGTGAATTCCCTATAAATTAAGAGGAGGTAAACATGAACTTTAATGAGCAAGTAAAGTTTTATATGCATAGGGATATTTGCATTTTTTTGGATAGAAGGACTTTTATCAAACTCTTAAAGGTATTGTTTTCAAAAAGAGCTTTAAAACCACAATTGTAAATTATGTGCTTTGTAAATTAGCACCCTGGCTGGTGTGCTTTATAAACCTTATTGGAGTTTAATTTTTGGAATATACTTATGATTAAATATGGATTATAGGAAGTATTCCTATATCCTTATCTTAAGGAATGTTGGAGAATTAAACCTTAAGTTTTCTGCTAAAAGATTTGTTAATTCACAGATATGGTCATCTGACTGTAAATAATAGTTTGTAAGGAGCTACAACTTACACAATACTGAGAAATTATTTTTAGATTACATAAGAATAATATACTACTTACTTAGGGCCTCAATCTTGAGTGTAAATGAAGTGTGAAATTTATTACAGTTTAGGTTTGTTTTGGACTTTTAAAAGGGTTTGCTGTAAGTAGTGCTATTTATATAGCAGGCACTCAATCCCTGAATGAATCAGATGCTAGCAAGGCATCTTGGAATGGTTTCAGCAGTGTTCTTGGTTGTTGGTCAGAGCTGATGATTGTACAATAGTGTGTGTGTATGGGTGGCCCTACTGTGGCTTACCTTTGATGAATTAAGTTTTGTAAATAATGGTTTCTGTATAAGGACAACTATTCTTGAAATTTTTAGTTATGGTCCTTTAATAAACCTTAGTCACTGTGATTGTAGGCTTGATTAAGATCTGAAATCAGTGCTCACTTTGGAATTTATTATGTTTGTAAAACTGTCCTCAATTCTAACTTCTTTCCAGTTGAAACCACTGTTTGAGAATAGTGTGTATTTTCAAAAGTAGCCATCTACAAAAAGCACACAGAAACTAGAGCCTGCCTAGAGTTTGGAGTCCAGAAGACTTGGATTTGAATACAGGCTTCATCACTTCTTTGACCTGCTTGCTTATTTAAGCTCTTTAAATCCGAGAAATTGGGAAAATGCTTAAAGGATATTTTAACATTTAATGAAGACAGTATGAAAAAGTGCTTAACAAAGTGGCACTTATAAAGGAGATTTCCAAGGAGTGTTAATGATCTCTTCTGTCATGTAATAAGGATTCTCCAGCATTTTCAACTCAATACACTTTTCAGGGGATGTATTGGGTTGGTCAAAAAGTTTATTTAGTTTTTCACCTACATTGGCTCTAGTAGTGCTTAGTTGACTAACCTCATTCGAAACAATTTTGTTAGATTGTTTTGGGACAGCTGTTATATAAAAACTTACCAAAACCAGTGATTTTTTTGTGCAGGCATTTTAATGTTGAAAATGGAAGAAGGTATGCAACATTTTCTGCCTATTATGCTTTATTATTTCAAGGTAAAAACGCAGCTAAAAGGAAAAAAAAAATTTGTGCAGTGTATGTAGAAAGTGCTGTAAGTGATCAAATGTGTTGAAAGTGGTTCGTGAAGTTTCTTGATACTATTGACATTTTGGCCAAATAATTCTTTGCTGTGGGACTGTCTTAGGCATTGGAAGATGTTTAGCAGCACCCCTGGCCTCTACCCACTAGAAGCCAATAATAGTGGGAGACAGCTGACATACTCAAAATATCCAAATCAATAAGTCAGTGACTTACTGACAAATGTGAAAATGACAAATGTGTCTTTTATTTTACAGAAAAAACCATAACAGACATTTTGGCCAACTCAGTAACTAATTTATTGGTTACTTAGGTATTGGGCCCTTCATGTTTCCTATCTTCTTCCTTCCTTCCTATTGTCTTTTGAGCTAAGTGGTGTTTTTGTTGTTGTTTTTACTATTTTGCTGAAGTAGGAGTTGAAACTTTAAGGTGTTACACAGATTTGGTCAACATTAAACAGTTAAGGAGTGACAAAACTCAAGATTCAAACCGAGATTTGTCTTAATCCAGATGTGCACCTTTTCTGCCAAGCGTGGTTTCTGTGAAGATATTAGAAGGGATGTCAGTCTCCACTCCTGAGAATAGAGTAATGCCAGTATTTAAAGTTTTTAATAAGTTGAATAATGACTTTTAAATTAAGTTTTCATTTGATTTATTTCAAATTAATTATGATAGGCATGGTGTGGGGCAGAGGCTGCATGTTGTATTTTATTTTATTTTATTTCTTAAGTATATTTTATTGATTATGCTATTATAGTTGTCCCATTCTTTTCTTCCCTTTATTCCCTTCCACCCTGTACCCCCCCCCCATCATTCCCTCATTTTAGTTCATGTCCATGGGTCATATATATAAGTTCTTTGGCTTCTCCAATTCCCATACTGTTCTTAAACTCTCCCTTTCTATTTTGTACTCACAAATTATGCTTCTTGTTTCCTGTACCTTTTCCCTCCTTCTCCCCATCCCCCTCCCTGCTGGTAACCTTCCACATGATCTCTATTTCTGTGAATCTGTTCCTGTTCAAGTTGTTCACTTAGTTCATTTTAGTTTTTGTTTTTTTAGGTTGGTTTGTTGATAGCTGTGAGTTTGTTGTCATTTTACTGTTTGTATTTTTTATCTTTTTCGTAGATAAGTTCCTTTAATATTTCATATAATAAGGGCTTGGTAATAATGAACTCCTTGAACTTGACCTTATCTGGGAAGCACTTTATCTGCCCTTCCATTCTAAAGGATAGCTTTGTTGGATAGAGTTATCTTGGAGTGGGTCTTTGCCTTTTGTGACTTGGAATACTTCTT